GGAAGGGGGACATATGGCACACAAGTTTTTTCCCACTGTGAGTGTACTGTCCAGACAGCTCTTTAGCTTTCTCCCTGTTTGTTCCCGGAGGCAATATGTAGGGGATTTAACTGCCAAGGTTTTTTTCAGTTTTAAAGGGACAGATTAATGCTATTTTTTGTAACTCCCAAATACTCTGCTTATTTGCCATTTCAGGAGAATTTAAAAACTCCTTTACCTCTCAGTAGGGTCTTTAAACAGAATCATGGAATATTCTGAATTGGAAGAGACCCACAAGCATCATCAAATCCAACTCTAAAGTGAATGGCCCATATGAGGATAAAACATGCAACCTTGGCTTTATTAGCACCAAGCTCTGACCAACTGAGCTGATCTCGGGATCCTAAAGATGCATTTGTCCTGTCATTTCTACTACACTTCACTTGAAATTGTGTAGTTGTTTCACACCTTACGTAGAAAATACAGATCTAGTTGATATAGCCTGAGTGTGCTTCCCTAGGAGTGAGAGATTAGAAAAGAGCAGGTCACTTGAATTTCTTTCCAAATCCAATGCTTGTCCAAGTCCCTCAATTCCATGGCACAGAAGAAATAGTTATGTTATGCATATTTGGAAAGAAAAAAACACCAGAAAACAAATAAACAAAGAAACAGTGTGGATATTAGAAACAATGTGTTCAAAGACAGAAAAAAATGGCTTAAGGACTTTCCCTTCACATCTTCCAGGGGACATTAGATAAACAGAGAAAGAAAGTGCTAAAGATCAACTCTCAAGGAGAGACAAAGTAGCACGGGGATGTGTCACCATAGACAATGCAGAAGAAGGAAGAACTCCATTGATGCATACAGCCAGTGAGATAAGGGAGAGAGAGAGAACATCGATTTTAATAATTGCCAACAGAAATAAAGTCCATCAGGGAAAGTATTTAATCAAAAAGAAAGAAAAAAGACTAATGAGAGTGTTCAAAATTCCCCTCCTACTACAGCCACTACTATACTCAAGAAAAAAAAAATCAAACTAGGACAAGATCAAATGAGTGGCTGGTAGCAGAAATGAACCAGAAATATTGACACATCTAAGTCACCTGATCTGGAGCAGCGATTCAAAATCAACTTTTTGGAGCAAAAAATTCACCTTAATGACTTGGCGACCTTTCTACCTTTCTTCAGGGTGAGATAGTAACCCCTGATAAAACACTGCCAAGCAAGGCTCTAACTCCAGCTGCAATGCTACAGTGTCCCACCAGGTGCTCTCTCAGAGGAGTCACACAAGCTGTACATTTCAACTGTGCCTCTTGATGCCCAGCAGACATCAGACTCCTTTTTTCAATCGTTTTTAACATGGGAAGCAAACTTGGAGTGGGCTGAGGAAGCAAATGTTTCTATATACTACTATTCTAGCTGCCTTTTAGTGACTAATATTCAGTTTTCTCAACAAATACATTGAGCACTGGTTAATATTATCCTAAATTAAAAGAGAATAAACATGAACATCAAGTGACGTGCTTTGCCTTTACTCTTGAGAATAATGAGTGTAAAGATGAGAGGAGGAAATGCTATTGCTCCTGTGCTCATGAGTTGTAGCATCTCTGACTAAACCTGAGACCTGGAAATATCCTGAAGGAAAGCTGCTAGCCACTGATTTTATTTACATTCTGAAGCTCTACAACATAATACTTCCTTGGTACTTCCAGGAAAAAGGTCTCTCCTTAGCACAGATGTCATAAATACTAACTGTATCCTGCCTGCTTCATCTTCAAGCTAACTGCAGCTATGAAAGGAAGCAGAGTCAGTGAGCTACCACAGTGTCAGAACAAAAGGCAGAATGGGCTTACCTCTCAAGCAGAAGCTCAAGGCACCAAGATAAAGGGAAAATGTAAAGTTGCTCTTGCACTGTTCTACCTTCTATGATGCAATATGAAGATAAATTTAAAGGGAAAAAAAAACCAAAAGAAAAAACAAACAAAATCCCCCCAAGCAATCAGGGCTGTCATGTCTGGGGCTACTGCATTAACTCTACCAGGTCCTAACAACTCATTCTGAGCTCAGAGCACACTCCTCCCAATCTCATAAACCTCTATCCACGAATTAATACAGTCATAGATGCTGTGCTGGTTTTGCATGGGAGGTTGGGAGGAGACACAGCTGGGACAGGTGACCTAAACCAACCAAAGGGATATTCCAGATCAGATGATATTGTGCTCAGTACATACCATGGGGGGAAGAAGGAAGAATAAGGGGGCATTTGGTGTGATGGTGTTTGTCTTCCCAAGTAACCATTGCACATTATGCGGCCCTGCTCTCCTGGACATGGTTGAACACCTGCCTGCCCAGAGGAAGCAATTAATTAATTCCATATTTTTCTTTGCTCATGTGTGTGGCTTTTGCTTTCCCTATTAAACTGTCTTAATTTCAACTCACAATTTTTCTGGCTTTTACCCTTCTGAGTCTCTCCCCAGTCCCACTGGTGGGGAAGTGAGTGGCTGACTGGGGCTTGGCTGCTGCCTGGGGTTAAACCAGATGTGCACATTAAGACATGAAACAGACCACACATCTCAGTGCTATCTACCATAGACATAAGAAAGCAGGATATGATTATTAAAAAATCATGAAAGAAGTCTCACAGAAAGCACCATCATCACAGTATGGAAGGAAAGATGTAATGGAATTAGCAAATTCAGACAAGTTAATCACAAGGCAAGGAAAGGACAGTGCAATCTGGAGTGCCAAATAAATAGACAGGAGTAAGCCAAGAGAATAAAATATGTAGTTATGGTTGAAAAGCTATAAATGATGCAGAGAATGCTTTCAATGTATCTTACACCACATACCATTCAGACTTTACTCTCTGTTAGCATAAACAATAAACTGAACTATATCTACTACAAAGTGGTGAAAAAATATTCTTCCATTGATTACACTGCATTTGCCTTTTCCTTCTTAATCTGCCAAGTTTTCAGGGGCAAACCTCTTGCCAATTAATCATTTGTGGAGTTGCTGGGATTTGATTTTTTTTTTAAATAAAGAGCAACAAGCACATCTGCTTCTATGGGATTTCTTTTATTATACCACCAAAAATACTGTGTTTTCCTGTGTGACTTGCAAAAAACAGTTTCCAAGGAGAGAAAACAGAGACAAAATTCAGCTTCAAAATTAGGCCCCCTGATAAAAGGATAAGCCATCGCATGTTGTGCTACATTGAAGTAGCTAGCTAACAATCAACCATGAGAACCAAAACCTATCTCCCACACTCACTTTTATACAAGGACACAAAATAACCATACTAAGTGTGGTTATTTGAAAAAAAGTATCAGGTAAATCAATGCTGAATCACCATCATCTGTCTTCACTCAAGAGTCATTAGGAGTCTCATTTAGTGGAGAGATGGGAGAATTTTTATCTTGAATACTGTGGCAAATCTCCAAAAAGAACTATGAAAAAAGCAGCCAGAAACCATAACAGCACATTCACACAAAAAAAAAAATTCCAGCACAAACTGCAAATCAATTTACTTTTATGTAGTACTGCAAGTCCTCGTCATTAGTTTGTTTGGTATTTTTATTTCAAAGCATATGAAATAAGGAAGTTGAAAAAATCTACCACAGTTGCAACACCTTTCCCTTATTTTTCTCCTTCTATATGGAAAATAAGAAGGTTCTGTTTTTAAACACAAATTTTAAAAGGAAGGAAACTAATTTAAAATAGTTTTTTGAGCAAGCTAAGTCACAATGTAAAACACAATGTAAACACAATGTAAAAATATTACAATTATGATTATCTGAATTCTCTAAGTTCCTAAATTCATTTTTGAAAGGTTCTAGCCTGCATATTATGCATTTCCAAAGAACATGGATTCAACATCTACTAGGACAATAGTTCCTCATCTGATGGATCTATCCTGTTCCCAGTTTTCCTGGTGACACCTCAGAACAAGTCTCTAGTCAGTGAAGGCTGTGGAAAATTATAGAGTTGTGAACCCCACAGCCAGGAGAATGAGACACTGATCCTAAGGAGTATTTACTACACCTTTACAAAGAAAAAAGGTACAATGAAATGCTATTGGAAATCTTTCCTTTTGATTATATATTTCCACTTCTAGATTCTGCTTTCTCTCCCATCAATACCCAATGAAGAATATATTCTAGATATACATACCTCTGAGAACCAACTGCAAGGAATTCCATGACAGATGCTATCCTGGCAATAATCATGATGTTAGAACCTACCTAACTTCAGGAAATAATATTTAAAAAGCAAGCACAATTCGTATTTGCATTCAGATTATGTTCCTCAAGGCTGGAGCATGTAAACTCCTGCTGCCTCAGACCACGTTGAAAAGGAAGCAGCATGTCATTTTCTCACAATGATGCACACAGAAAGTGTTCTGGGATCCAGAAACACCAAGCTACTCTCAAGAAGTGTGATCTAGCCACATGCCTGTCACTTTTTCTTTCACAAGTAGATGAGATACCATTTCTTGCCATTAAAATTCAGAATTCCCACTCTCCAGAATATTCAGGTCAAGCACAGCTTTTTGATAGATTCTCAGTGAACTTCTGTGCATGCAGTTAGCACAGCTGAGACACAGCCAAGAGAACATCTCATTTTCAGAGTAGCAGCACAGTCTAGAAAGCTTCCCATTCTCAAGAAATATGAACTATTTTTAGTTTCCTAAGCATTACAAGAGACTAAGTTTAAAAAGAAAACATAAACCAGATATGACAGAATTGTTCAACAGTCTAAAAATCCACGGATTTCATTCCCTTCCATTTGCTGAACACATTTGGTACCAACTGTTCAGCAGAAACATGTTTAGTGTTGTGATGAGTTTGAAATATACCTGCTATGTCATGTATTTCCCCAACCCTTTCAAGAAGCAAGGGTAAGGTTAGTTGCTCAGGAGGCAAAGCTTGCATACAGCAGATTCTTGCAGCAATAAGGAAATCAGACAATCATGGAGAGCCAACAAGATTTGGAACCGAATGACTAGGAAAATGCTGATGACAGAAACAGACTTTTAATAAATCAACTGCAGTTTTCATCTTTTAAAAATGGACTTCACAGCTGTTTCTTCATACAACATTTATGTGGACCACAGCTACATAACAGCCTATCACCATCACCACGTTTACCTATAATATTTGATGGAGACTAACACAACAAATTGTGTCACTACCCAAAACCTGCAACAGAAATGAAGTCGCACAGAGGTTTTTCTTTTAGGGTGTAATTTATGGATGGGATAAGCAGTTTCTACTTCTCAAAAAAACATCTTTGTAATACAAAGATTGTGCAAGAAACATCCCTATTCAGAATTACCTGCTTAGTATTATTTAAATAAGAGTTTCTTAACTTCCCTTTGCTGCAGAACTGTTCGAAGTTAGGTGCAACAAATGCACTTCAGAATAAGATACCATTTTCCTGGATGGCATCCGATAGCGCACATTTTTCCAGAATCTTGTGTTTGCTGAACAAGATTTCTCCGAGAAGTCTCCTTTCCATTTAATAGCTCCATGCTTTTGCTTAATGTATCTGATTGATTCTGGCATGCTTGTGTAGTCCTGTATTTCACCCATTTCTATAAGAATCACTTGAATCCCATCACGGATGAGAGCATTATACATAGCTAGCTGTTGCTCAGAGGTGTCTTCTAACAGGCAGCACCTAGATGTTTCTGATCCCAAAATAATCATCAGTCTTCTGCTTTGCTTAAGGGTTTCATCAGCAACACTGACCACAGCTGCAAGTGATGAAGGAACAATCAAAGTCTGCATAGCAACTTTTCAACTGGTGTAAAATAGTTCTTTATTCTAAAATTGCAAACGTGAAGCTGTGGCTAGCTCAGAGCAGTAGTTGCTTTAAGATCTTCACACTGCCAGTCACGATTCATGATTCATGATCCATTGCATGACATAACTTATAAAAAAACTGTTATCTTCATCCCTCAGGAGAAGATATCATTCAAAGAAACTCAACAGTATTATTAATGCTATTAAGTCCTCATTTGTTCATCACTAAGAAAGTGCAGACCCTCATAACATCAGAACAGAATCTTCAGTAACAAAAAGAAAAGAAAAAAATTTGCATTGGACAAATCATCTATTAAAACTAAATAAATACATCTTTCTTTTCCAAAAATGTGGGCTTTAATTCCATAGTTAAACTTATAACCCGAGAACCATGTGTCAAAAGGCAACCTGTTACCTCTGCTAATTAAAGCATACCTTCTCCTGGCAAATCATCTCTTCCTAATATGAAAAGGTTATATCCACATTGCTTTTCTAAAACATCTGGGAGTATGCTACGAACAAAGGTTTCCAGACAACAGATACTTCTGCTTTCACTGCTTTTTGTGTACAGGACATACGCATCATAGATTTTCCCATCTAAAACAAACATAAACATTTCTATTAAAAAACTAAAACTCAGAAAAAAATGCATTTATTGCAAAGTTTCTTTTCTTGACTTTTTAGAAATAGCAATGTAGGGCTGATTTCACCCATCTGACAGAATCACCTCACAGAAGTAAAATGCTCTATGAATCAAAATGAAAATGATCAGCCACAGAATCTGACTTCCTTTCCCATCCTGGGGATGGAGGAGTCACCAAATGAGCTGGATGCAGGACCTGGGACCTGCAGGAAGGAACTCCCAGTCCCAGATGTGCCAGGACACTGAGGAAGTACCCTTGTAACAGGACTTTCTTCACCACCTCTCCTGAAAGAAACCCAACAGGAGTAATCTCCATTTCTGACTAACCACAAGAGAAGGTGGAAAATGGCAATTCTTTTTGTAATAATAATCCTGGGAGGGCTTTTCACAGGTAGAAGAAAAGACCAGAAGACTTCTGAGGTTTTAAGAGTTAAGGCTGCATAGCAAGCAGGACTGAAAGAACCAAGCCACAAGCAGATCTACCTCCACTAAATTAAAAAAATTAATTAAAGTTTAAAACTTTAATTTTTTTTTAAATTAGAACTCTATTACAGTATTATAGTGAAATTGAATTTTTGACCAGGAGTTGAAATTACTTTTCCATGAAAACGGTTAGGACAGCCATGAGTAACATTAACTATCTTAATGTATGTAATCTGCTCACTTTCAAACCATGGGGAACTTCAGACAGTCTAATTCTGGAAACTGATACGAATATATCTGTGATGTTGTGCTTATCTCAAATTTTTCACACCTGTCCAATATATACAGTGCATTAAACTAAAACACATTAGAAGAATCCCAGAACACAGAACTAGCAGCAAATTTTCTCTTTGATATGTCAAAGTCATAACTGACAGGATTTAGAAGGAAAGCAAGGGTAATAGAGAGGAACTGCAAAATGAAAAAAATCCCGAGAAAATTAATCTCTGACAAATGAGTCTGATTTTTCAAAATAAATATTTAATGCACGTCTTTAAACATCTAGTTTACAGGATGTAGCTCTGCTGACACCTATTGTTCATCATCAGAGTGACCATAAATCTACATGTAAAGAGACTACAGAAAAACAAAAAACAACATGCTCGTTTTGGAATAACCTATACTTCTTTTGGCCTATCTCACTATGATTGCCTTCAATATTACACAGCTTTTATTCAAGCATAATTATATATTTTACCCATATGACTAAGAAAATCCTGCACAAAATGTCATTGTGCATATCTGAAAATTCCTCATGGAAGTTCTATGTACATTGCACCAAATAATCCCATTATTTCTCAGAAGTAATGGCAAGTGAAAAAATCAATAGCCTAATTACACTTACATACCTGGTCACACTCACATACCTTCCTTACTTGTAAGGGCACAGACAGAATTACGGTACCAAAGCACGAAATCAATCTTGAATATCTTGTAGATTATTAAAGTAAAAAATGTTAAAATTAACAAAGAGACAAGCCCTCCAGTCAGCCATCTTCGTATGTCAGGAACTGAACAAAAATATAAGAAAAAATTTTTTAAATGCTGAATTTGTCCAAATCTGAGCTTTCACAGAAATTCAATGCAAATTTGAATATTACATTTTTCATCCCTATTTACCTTGTTTTTTAAATAATGATAAATACAATGCAATAGTGATTTCTTCCCTATGCACAGGCACATTCATACTGCAGAGTGTAATACACCTGTTTTCTTTCAATATGATAGATGAGAATTTGGTATCAAAACACCCTCTTGGGAAGTACAGATAATCACAGGCCTCAAAAATAATAGTATTTCTTACCTCTGGGTTTTAATATAATATAGGATGCAACCTGCCCAAAGGCATTTGAAGCTTGACATACAAAAGGCTGTTCATAATCTTCACTGCTCACTTCTGAAATTATTAGCTTCACAGAATGCATAGGGCGCCCATCGTAAGCAGTTTCTCCCCTGTCCAAAAGGTGACAAATAAAACCATAAAACCACAGCCCTTTCAGGAATGTCTTCATCTCTAACAGCTGCAGCATAACAGTGGCTATTTCCTTCTGCAAATGTCAACCTGACTTCACAGCAGATGAACAATTACATAGTCTGAAAGAAACCCAGTCAGACCTCTCCTCCTACTGACATTTAGCATATGCATTGGAAAGCATCAAGACACTGAGATGTTATCTTATCTGCAGGTGTGCTTCCCAAAAGGAATGTAAGTTTTCTGGAAGTTCAAAAATATGCCTTACTAACCTAAATAAACTCTTGTTATGGGCTTTCCAATTCCTGTGAGAGTAGATAGACATAGATACTTTACAATAGGATATGATATTTAGGGAATGAATGAACCAACATCACTAGTGCAAGTGACCAACTAAGTGACCATGTAAGAGCTAAGAAGTACAAAAAATAACACTGCTTTTGCAATATCAACTCAGCGACCATGTGTCTCTACATTATGGCCTAATTGTTCATGGCACTACAATTTTTTATGACAGTGTAATGTATTACTTTTGCATAGTGTTTTCTCTTGGTGAGCATTCAAATAATTCAGCATTTTATTTCTCCTTTTGTTTTATGATGAAAGCTTATTTCTTGCAACTATATTCTTACTTTGCAGACATTATTCTCTTTTCTTCACTGGTTTTTTGGTCTTAGATAGTGCTCCAGAATTTATAAAAACTATCTAATTTTTTTTATTCACAGTATCACAAGGGCTGGCAAAAAAACCCTGAAATTTTTAGTTCAAAACCTGTAATGTCTAAGAAAATTTCAGATAGCCTCTTGCTCCAATTTGCATTGGTTTTTCCAGTCAGATGTAATTTCTCTTCTAATTCCATTTAACCTGCTTTTAACTTCACCTTATCTCCCACTTGCCCTTCACATACTTTACTCAGTCCAAGTCCTCCCAAAACCCGGCTCATCACTGGAAATCATCTCCCTTTTCTCTTCTGACCCCTAAGCTTCAATCCAAATGCCCTCAATAAAGTCTCCCTTTAGCTCTTCAATTGATCTCTGCTAAATTTCTCTAACTTAATGCTCTTAAACCTAGAAATCTCATTTTTTCCTGTATAGCACGGATTTGCCCTCTTGCAACCTTTCAGAGAGGCAGATGTGGAACACAGAAGATAGAGACAGTCAGAAGATTGTGCACCTGAAAAATGCCTGATCCGACCAAAAGAGGTCTCTGCCAGGCCAGACTTTGCTCAAAAGAAACTGTATTACAATTACGGGACTGTAACAAAACACCTTTTCCCAACATTGCAAATTCAGACTGTTTTTTGACAATGAGCATGAAATGCACAATCATATGTGAAGCCCATGTGCCTACTATGTTTAAAGGTTCTATTTCAAAGCAGGAAGTCAGTTGGAGAAGGCAAGCATTAGAGTTTTTAAGAAGAATGCTATTTAAAGCAAGGGAAAAATGTTGGTAAATATTTTAATGTCAAAGGGAGAAAGTTTGCTCTTTGGTTGCCAACACGGTATTTTCTAATCTGAAAATATACTTACTCATAGGAACTTGCAAAGATTCTGCTCATATAAAATACATCAATATACACACCATTCCCTGTCCAATACACGTCATACCCATCAGCACCTGTTGTATTGCAATCCACAGTAACCTGTGAGCCTGTAAAATTGTGTTACAAAGTAAAGAGTTAATTCCCAAAACCTAATTAAAGTCTATACAATCCTATTCACACATGCACACCAGCTAAGGATGATACTAAACCCTTTCAGAAAATTACTCTAACAGAGGGTCTATACTCTCAGTGATCTGCAGGTCCAGAAAGAGAATGGTAGGATGGAAGAAGCTGAATCCAGGAAGAAGATGCTCTCCTTGGGGCATCACTTTGCCTGCAGATTCAAGATGGACTTGTTCTTAGAATCACTTCTAGAGAGATGGAAAGCAATAGATGTGACAATCACTTGGGTTCTTACAGTTTTCCTTGCATCTGAGAAATTTTTTTAGGACTTTGTAAGCAACATGCCTGATTTTTTTTCCTCTCACCCCTCATTCCACCTTTGCGAGATCAACAGAGAGAAACTGATCTGGTCACTGAACTACTGTTTTTTGAAAAATAAAACCAAGAAAGCACAGAATAGGACACTCTTTGAGAATAGTTTTAACTAGGATACAAATTCATATTTTCTCTAGAGAACACTACTTACCAAGTTCCACTTCAATGGAGTTGTTTCTTGGGTAAGTTATTTCTGGAGGCTTTTTTGGTGGGGTCACTAAGCAAAAGAAAAAGTGTTTTTCAGAAAACCAGGGGTAGCTGCAGTCTGTTTTATGCTTTATAAAGTAAGTACAACCTAAAAACACCCCTTATACTAAAGACAAGGTTTTCAGACATTTTATAGGAAAATATCACTCATTACTGAAAGTACCATATCTCAGGTAGTCATTACTGCACATTTAGGTGAAAAACAGTAGTCTTAAGCATGCCCACAAATTAGGTCTTTCCACTTTAACCTTTAGAAATTTGCAACATAGACTTGGAGTTGTTATGAACACATACACAGTGAAATTATTTACTTACATTCTACAATCAGACTGATGTCTCGTGAAATGTTGTATTGCTTTCCATTGTAGGTGTATGTTGTTTCACATGTATAGTTTCCTCGATCATGTACAGTCACATTGAAAATTATAAGGTCACTGTTTGAAAGGACAAACCTTTTTCCTTCCAGCAGCTGGCAGTCCTAAAAGTGTGTAGAGAATTCTGTTAACTCATATTTCTGTGTATTTCCATGGTTTGCCCCTCTTTGATACAATCTGAAGTTTCAATGGACCACAGCATAAGGACGGACACTCTGTAGAGGCTGAGGAAGAGGGCAGTGGAATATAAGGAAATGCACACTTCACTTCAGTTGAGATTTTAATTTAAAGATACCCCAGTTCATTCCCTTTGGAAATCAACTTTTGATACTAGAGAATTAAGGAAGTAAAATGTGTGTTGTCAGTATTTGCAAAAGTATTCATCAATGAAGCATCACCAAATAATTAGACTTTATTTTTTCAGGAGCCTCAATACCACTGGTACCATATGGTCTGCATGAGCCTGAGACAGGAATCCGGCAGAAGGCACAACATTCTTTTAACAGAAAGAGCCTTTAAGAGAGTGTGAACAACATGAAATAGAATAATGGAATAGAACAGTATTGAGCACATAATGGATATGCATAGGTAACATAGTAAATCTGTTTCCACGCAAGGCTGCATTTCCCTGGCAGGTGAACAGATGCCACCCTGGCGGGTACATGGGTCAGCATCACTCCTACACTTCAGATGAATTTCTGCCCTGACAATCAAGAACACCTTCAAAAGACAGAAAGTCTTAATCCGCTTCCAATTTGTTTTAAAAGTATTTTTTCTCCAATTTACAGTAAATCTTTAGTTCTTCTTCTCCAATTCTCAGTGATTACTTATTATAAATAATGGACAGGTACAAGACAACAAAACACTATGTTCTCACCTTATACCAACGAACAGGGTGAATATTCTTCTCTTTCCTGAAAAAGTCCAAGTGGGGACACACAACCTTTGCAGAAGATGAGGTGAATATCACCTCCTCTACAGCAAATTTTTCATTTAAGCATAAACCATCAATCCTCTCAAAAACTGTTACTTTTGTACACATTTTCTTGCAGCTTGTCAAATTCCTGCAATTAATAGAACACAAATAAATTAACATATTTAGCACATTTTTCAGGTCAAAAATGTATGGCATTCTTTTTGGAGAAGGAAGAGAAGAAAAAATGTTTACAGTATCTTTAATATATTTACTTTTGCCTACAAGGAAAAAAAAAACCCAAAACTAGACCTAATTTCCCAAAACTAAAGTTAGTTTTCGTAGCTGCATTCCCTCTTCTTCATTAGTATTTCCCTTACTCTCAAAATTTTACTTGTTTTCTAAAAGGTACTCAACTCACTTTGCAACTAATTTCTGTAAAAATATATATTTTTTTTTTAAACTTTCACCTTATGACACATTCATAATCTCCAGAATCTTCTAACATTGCAGGAAGAAACCAAATTAAATCCTTCTGCTGATGAACTCTAGACAGTTTGTCTCTAGGCACAGCTTTCTGGTTACCAACTTTATACCATGTTAAGTTGTAGTCTCCACTTTTCAAACTCTTTTCCAGTGAACATTTAATAGCAAGAGGCTGCCCATCAGGCACAAGACTTTGCTTCAACATCACATCATAGGCTTCACATTTCTCTAAAGGAAAGAGATACACATTAAAGAAAAACTCAAACACTGTACAAGAATATAGTGAACTCATTTCCTGATTATATTCACAAAGCTGATTAGAGTTTTCACCTCCATTCTGAAGCCAACTACTAAAAATACAATTTTAATCCCTTATCTTTACAGTTGAGAGTACTACTCAGTAGTTTGCAGAAATAGTTATACCATTAAAAAGAAATTATGTTTTTTGAATGTAATCTTTACACTCAGTAGAATGTTTTTGTTTGCAGTGACTTGTCATTTGAATGTTTTATTTTAGATGCAAATTACTAAAGCAATTCGTGTTTCTCCAGTCTGTTTCATGGGCATGTACACAAACACACACATGCTCATAAATATCATATTTAATGTCTTTATTTTTTTAAGTTCTCTTAACTGAGATCAAAGTAATCCTTCAAGACAATTATGCTTTTGATACTTAAATGTCCTAACACTGAAGTGTCCTAACACTGAAGTTAAAGATTGTGTTGTACAAATACTGTTTGCCATGGGAATTTCAACTCACCGTTCATTTTATGAACATTTAGGGAGGAATCATTACAATCACAATGAGCTAATTTTCTTTACTTCCAACACAGACTCATGCAGGAAAAGAGCAACACCAAGTTTGGTTTGGGGTTTTGGTTGTGGTTTTTTTATTGTAATTTGACAAGAAAGGTACCAACTCTGGATACCATGGTCATGTTCCCAAGTCAGTAATATATTTATTGAAACTTCCTTGCTTTGTTAGAAGCAATAAGAATTGCCATAGAGAGTCATGCAAGTGTCTGTTTAGCCCAAAATCCTGTCTCTGATAACTATCAGTGCCAAATGTGCAGAAGAGAGTAGGACACAACAAATACAATACTACTCTGATTTCAGTTCCTTCCTTTCCTTTTACACTCTGCATGAAAAACCATTCACTGGCTTTTATAAATTCTCTGAGTATCATGCATTTCTTGTTATGAGAAATGGTAAACTTCCTCTCATCTGCCTGTTCTATGGTATTTACATTTTTATAGACCTTCATCCCATCTTCTTTCTGCCTCTTTACCTCAGAGTCCTCCTTCATTTAGAGACTTCTCATATGGAAGCCATCCCATATCGCACAACATTGTCACTCATCTCTCCACCTCTTCTGAGACCATCTTTCTGAGATGGAATGACCAGAACTGCAGAGTTCACCTGGCACACATTCACTGTGGGGTTAAAGAGTAGCATAATGAGGCTTTCAGTTCTCTGCTCTGCTGCTTTCCAAAAATTCTGGTTTTCTGCTCCTCGCCGATGACAGAGTTAATGATTGCAGAGAGCAACCAGAGATATCAAAACAGCATTTTCCCAAGGGGCTATTAATTAATTAATGCTCACATCACACACATACAGCATACTTGCTTCTGCTATACATGCATGACCCTTTCATGCCCCTTGATATCCACTTGATTTTACTGACATTCTGCCACTAAACTATTTGATATCCAGACACCCTCTGCAGAGCAAGCATCAGTTTTAACCACCAAAGAACAATTTTGTGTCATCCACTGTCCTCATCACCTCACCATAGATCTTTACTTATCCAAACACTGAATTACTCAGGTGTCTGTGTTGAATGCACCGTAACAACTGTGATGATTATGAAATGCTGTTGCCACAGGAACCAATAACCTTTTTCTGCCACTGAATGCTAATATTCTGAAACAGTGTAAGAGACACCAGCACATGCTGAAGACCACTCAGCTGGAAAGTAGATCTGCAGGGAACACTGGGGTCCTGTTAGACCACAAGCTGATCATGGGCCACCAATGCTCCCTCATGACACAAAAAACAAACAAACAAACAAACAAACAAACAAACAAAAAAGCTACCAGTGTCCTGGGATGCATAAGGACTTGTCAGATTTGAATTCACTGGAGAGAGTCCAGCACATAGCCACAAACATGTTTAAGGGAGTGGAGCACTTCTCACTTGAGTAGAGGATTAAAGAGGAGGAGCTGCTCAGCCTAGAGAAGAGAAGGTCTGAGGGGTGTGTATGGGTGGATCTTATCAATGTGTGTAAATACCTGATGGGAGGGAATGAGGAACAAAGAGACAGACTTTTGCCAGCATTACCCACTCACAAGAGGCAATGAGCACGAATTGAAAATTAAACATTCTACCTGAACATAAGAAAATACTTTTTTTTATTGTAAGGGTGATCAAACAGTGGAACAAGATGCCCAAAGAAGTTGTAGAGGCTCCATTTGCAGAGAATCTTGACCCTGTAAGGTTAGATGTGAAGAGTTCCTTTCCAACGTAAATGATCCTGTGATAAGTTAGTACATAAAATACCACATATTATGTTTTATAGGTTCCTGCTCTTGGGACTATTTAAAAGAACTCATTGGCATGCATGTAAATTTCACTATTACAGACACTTTCACAGAAAGTTATTATTACTTGTGAAAAAAAAAAAAGAAGTTCCAGAACAAAAATTTCCACAGCCAAAAATAGACTTACTTGCAATAAGTAAAGACAAAAACGCTGTTACGATGTTACACGAAAACAATGTTTTTGCTGTCATGTTTCCCTGCAGAAATAAAAATAAAACTTTCAGTTAGTGGTTTCAAATATGAACTTCCACGATTTAAAGTAAACATTTGCATTACACGATTAATGCATTACACAATTAAAAAAAGAATTACACAGAATAGAGGGTATATGAAACAGAGGAATTGTCTTTGACTTGTTCTGAGCCTGTTACCTGCCTGTTTTACCTGACAGCACCCAATTATTATACCAGAAGAAAAAAAGAGTGAACATCTCCTATTTCAGCTTGTCAAGTAATTGGTTTTTTTACCTCTCTAGCACACTCCTTCCCACTTCTTGCTTTCCCAAGTTACAGTTGTAGATTCTCTAACTCTCCCTTAGATGGAATCTGTTTTCATAATTCTGACCTTTTTTTGCCACCCACTTCTGTACTGCATCCACTTATGCTACAACTGGTCTGAGATAGGGAGGACAGGACAGAACTTGCTCACAGTCTTCAAAACGTAAGTGCACTATGGACTTATAAACAAAGACAATTACTGTTTTTTTCTGGATTTTTTTCTTAATGATTTCTAACCATATTTCTTTGATCTTTGAGTACTACTGAGTATTGATCTGATATTTCCATTGGGCTATGTAGTAAAATTTCAAGATCCTATCATTGGGTGCTAAGAATCAGGCAAAGTCAGCTATTGAGCATATGATGCTGGGATTTTGGCCATAGTTTTCATTTAAAATTTTCTTTAGATTTCTCTACAACAATTTTCTTCTGCTATTATTACCCAGTCATTTACTGTTGTAACATCTTTGTGCCATTCTGTGCAATTTACACCTCCATGTTCTAGCCTGAATAGCTTTGCATTGTTGGCAAATTCTGCCACTGAAACAGATTCCCTCTGTCTAGATCATCAAAATACATGCTGAGCAGAAGAGCTGTTTGGGACTCTAGTAGTGATGTTTCTTCACCTAAAATCTAGGCATTTATCTTTTACATGCTTATTTATATATTGGAGAATGATTGTCAGGACTCTTTAGCAGTCCTCTGATCCCTAACATGTTTGGAGAAGGATCTCTTAGTTGCATGCCTCTGGCAAGCTGTTCCTTAACTTGATCTGCTTTACTGTTTGGTTTTTTTTCTGTTCAGCCTACCACAGTGTTTTACAGCACAGTGAGAGGACAAATGCAACGATTCCAACTGAAGTATGAGCAGGAGAACCCCATCCTGCTGTGAGGACCACTGAGCTGATCACCATTTCCAACCAGAGTCGAAGATGGCACTTGTGGCTGCTGTGTCCTAATTCACTGGCTGACTCAGAAGTGTGCCATGCCTTGAGTCATCCACACTGCTTCTTGCAGTGCCTGCTTCCCTTCTTCCTCTTCTCTTTCCTCCTCCCTCCTTGCAAATTTCCACTCATATTACCAGGCAGGTCTTTTCTTGCCTGGCTCTAAGATGGGATGAGCCCCTGAAAGAATCCTGACTGCAGAAACACTCAAAACATTAAAATCTCAGGAGGTAGGTTATATGCGTTTGCACAAAAGCTACAACTTTTCCCATTACTTACGATGCACAGTAACTCTCAAAAATCTGTAATTTTTAATTTTAAAAAAGGGAAAATATTGTTACAGATAGAATTTAAAGATAAAACAGGATTGAATAGACTCCACTTATGAGCAGGTATTTTCTTTATGACTTCTCTGAATCACTGCTCTTTTACAAACTCTGTTCTCTTACAACATTACCTTCCTCTAATGTTCTGTCTCACAAGAGCTCTCTCAAGAAGCTTTTTGTCCCCCCAGTAGATTCAGCAGATAGTAGTATACAAAAAGTACAGAAGTAGTATTTTACCATATCCTGAAAGAAAGTTTTTCAGGATTCTTCTTTTCTATAATTTCAACATTCTTTCTATTTAAATTTATAATTTGTCCTTTTGTCAACATATGCAAATATATATATATAGCCTTGTGTAAAACCATACACACTACTTTGAGGAGACTCCCTTCATGACAAAATGAAAAGTTTCTTCCATTTCTATGGAAGGTAGACACAATAGCAAAATTAGGCTGTTCCCTGTGCATGCATTCACATAAATAAGGATGAAAATAACATACATACAACCGCAAAGTCAAGTGCAAATGTTTTTCCTACCACATTCTGCCATGACAAACAGCTAAATTTCTCTCTTTTCCCAGCCATTCTGTCCACATCTTGAGCACTCAATCGACCAGTGGATCTTTACCATTCACAACAGACTTCAGCTCTAGTTATCTTTGCCCAGATTTTCCAAAGGGGAAAAATTTTTCAGGTATGCAAAGCCATGTCCATGAAGTTTCACCCTGAAAGGAAATATTTTAATCAATTGCAGTTTAAAAAAATAATTACAAACACCCCCCCCCCAAAAAAAAAAAAGAAAAAAATCAACTGTCTGGAGGAGATCTTCAATACTGCACCTGAATTACAATTACAGCATCGATGACAGCATGTAGGCATAATTTTCAATAAAATTTCTCATTAAATTGGCATAACCACCTTTGCATCTGCTTATTAATCCTTTCAAAGTTGATCTACTCAATTAAAAAAAAGAACTGTCCTCAAAACTTCGAAGGATCACAGGCTTCACTGATTTTGGCAAACCTGTGGCATGTTCATTTGAATCTCTTATTCAAAAGCACAAACTGATTCAAACATGCAACAGTTCTCAGAACTGAGAGAACCAACAGAAAGTCAGAGTATCACACTATTTCTGGTATATAAGCCTAGGAACATTTTAAATAATAAAAAATGCATATATATATATATATATATATATATATATATATTTATTCATATTACCTTAAATGCTCTTATTAACTGCAAGGTACACCATACCATGCCTCTTCTAGAGAAATTCAAGTGTCTTACTATTGACCACGAAAAAAATGATGACAGCAAACACATATATTCTTTCACGGGACGTACCTGGTCAGTGTGGCAGAGCTGAGTTAGCCCCGTCAGAATGCAGTGATAGCACTGCGACTATCGCGACAGCCGTGTTTCTGTGAAACGCTGGCATCTCTCAGCGGGTACGGCAGGAAATCATTTCCCAACACTCTTCATTTGAATGGCGAGGTATTCCTGGAAGTATGTCCTTGGACGGGGCTGTGGCTCCTGGGCGGTGCAGGGGGCCCCGCCCGGCTCAGCGCCGAGGGGCAGCGGCGAAGAACCGGCGCTCGCTCGCGTTCTGTCAGGAACCGAGCCGCGGTCAGGGCTGGCCCTTCACCAGAGCTCTCACCGCTACTCCCGAGCTGTCCCCAGCCCAGTGTCCCCGGTGGACACTACCTCGGTCCGAGCCACCTCCCAGCCCCAAAAGCGAGGCGTCGGAGCAAAGTGCGACCATGAGCGCGGCAGCTCTAGGATCTCCTGCTCGGATGGTCCCGGCCCGGCTGAGGCCGCCCGCCCCGCCCCAGGAGCCGCGCTCCCGGCCGCACCTGCTGGGCCCCGCCGCCCGCACCCGGCTCTCGGGGGCCGGGCAAGACCCTGAGCCCCCGTCACGCCAAGGGCTCGCTGGGGCCGGGCCGGGGCCCGAGGAATCCCTACCTGCTCCTGGGGGGCCTCCCAGAAAGCCCCGGCAGCCGAAGGGCTGCGGCACGGGCGGCTCCTCCCAGCGACGCCTCGCCTTCCCCCGGCCGCCGCCTCCAAACCTGGGTGTCCCCAGGACGGTGAGGTGGCCCCGGGGCAGGGCAGGGCACGGCAGGGCGGGGCCATCCCCAGTCCCCGCCGCGCCCCGGCTCAGGTAAGCGATTCTGATTAAAGGCAAGCTCCGAAAAACAAAGCGTTTGAGCAGCCACCCCAGCCCATCGCTGCTGCGGGCTGGGCTCAGCCTCGGCGCCAGGAAATCCTCCAAGAAAAGATTGCGAGGTCTGAGGTGACTGACTTTCGTTTGTTTGTTTGTTTGTTTGTTTGTTTGTTTGTTTGTTTTAAAGTACGAATAGCTCCAAACCCCCCTAGTGAAGAAACCGTGTCACTGGAAGAGAAAGAGCCCTTGAAGATTCCGTGGACAATGTTGGCAGGAGCATCTCGGAGACACCAGCTGATTTGTTTATTCAGTAGGCTGTTTTGGCTGCTTGGTCTGACCTCCCCAAACTGTCACTGAGATATTTGGAAGACTTAACATACGGGTTAGTCTCATTTAGCCCCTAAGTTTTATCTACAAACTTAACAGTTACTACTTAGTCCTGATATTTTACAGAGATTACCTCATTTATGGCTGTTCTGGGAACAGTATCTTTGATGATGATTCTTAGTTCTCTGTTTCACACCACGTCTAGAGCCAAAGTTTTACAAAGCAGAAGTTCCTCAAACTATTTTGTTTAGCACCAGATTAAATGTGGGCAATTTTAACATTGCACTGCCACTTACTTATTGACTATTTTAGTAGTTACTAAAATAGGTATTAAGGTAGGGGAAAGCTCTTTCTTATGTTCCTCACAAAGCAGGCAGCAATCATGGACTACAGAACTATCAAGGTAGATGTTCTCATTATTGTTAAAAATACATTGTAACATTTGCTAAGCAAATTACAAGTATTCTGCAAAAACTGTGGAGAATAATCCAGGCATGTCCTGTTCCTTCCACCTTTTTTCATCCTGCTTCTGGTACTTCTTTCATTGTGTGTTCTGGTACTATTATATATACGAAATGGAAACACGTTCAAACATCCTACCCACTAGCTGCAGATAAGTTAAGATGAAAGATTATGCCCTGCTGTGCCTGCATAAACCGTGTTTCTCAACACAGGGTATGTTGTGCTAGCTGGAGGCACATTGCAACACTTCCAGACCCAAAGCCGTTGGGAGGTACACAGAAAATTAATTCATTCATGACTTGGCAAACACAGCAGGAGTTACGCAGTCAGCCTGTCTCTCTTTGGTCACCGCTTCTATCCATATTTAATTTTGGGAATGTTTCTCATTAACTCCTTGTATTAGGTCAAACAACGCAAGATTATGTAAGATTTTTAGTTTCTGTATTATTTTACACCACCCAAAAACATCTGTGACTGGAGTCTGATTGAAGTCTCTACTATATTGCTCTAGAAGCACTGATTTAAAAAAAATAATAACTTCATAAGAGTTCTTTTTGAGGTACACATGCTAGAGGTTCTGCTGTATGCAGTTGTGATGGGACTTTTTCTCCTATATTCATTGTAATACTACTAATAGTGAAAAAATGTTTCTGGTAAAAAGGTTTCTGGTGTAAAACACTTTGTTAAAATATCACCAAAATGAACAGGTAAAATCAGAACTGTTCAATCATTTAACTATTCATTGAATGCGAACCAGAATTCAGAAAAAAAAAAAAAAAAAGGTATAGTAAAGCTGAAATGGCTGGATTCCATGAAATAGCAAAAATACACAGACCATGGCAGTCATAAGACAAAAATTGAAGGGAAGAGCAGAGGAGTGGGTTGTCTGAGGAAGGTGGACATTGACTTTAGTCTGCATGAACATTTGGTGTGGTCACTGGGGACACTTTGAAGCAGACCAGGAATCAGCAGATCCATCAATGAAGGTGACGCTGAGCAAAGCGTTACCCAAACTTCCTCCAGATCGGATCTATGCAGGGGAATTTTTCTTTTTAAATCTATGTGAACATTCAGATGTATTTTACCTCATAAAGCTCTAAGATAGAATAAGCAGTCATAATTAGCACAAGGAGGGGTTTATCCATCCAGCAGTGCCATCTTCGAAAATGGATTGCAGCAGAGTGATGATCATGGTATACTTTTCTGCAGCTGAGAAGTTCAGATAAGGCTACTTCTTTAAAAATTAAGAGATTGGACTTGAGGATAGCATTTGGTGTATAGCATTTCTCCAAACTCTGTATGCTAAATAAGGTATCATAGAGAAGTCCTTTTTCCATCAGGTGGTGGCATCTGCTTTCTTTATTTGATAAACATTATATAGCCAATGAAGGGAATGCAGTGCCTGTGATGAATAATTCAATCCTTTTGAATTACACTTAGAAGAAAATCAGAGTGAGAGCGTTCTCTTAGGGAGGGATGGGACAGAAGTTGCCTGAGATGTCCGGTGGTTTTGTTCCAGCTTTCAAGATTACTTGTCTTTCTCAATTAACAGTATTGGCAACTTGCCCTTTTCACATATCATCTCCTTGGCACATGTGGCTGCATTCGTGTTTTTGTTTGGATCAAGGGAACACTTATGTCACAAAACAATCCTGGAACCCATCAAACAGAATCCTTTCAGATTAGGCAAAACTTGAAGATAAATTCCAACTAGCTGGGTATCCTATCAACAGTGCCTGACAGCAGTTAGTCTGAAATTATGTCTTTTCAAACATGTCTCATGTGGTCACCAGGTCCTCCACACCAACTGACTTGAACTGCAAAAATCAGGGAAATACTTGCCCTGATTTTTTTAGGACAAGCACCAATGACGAGCAAATGTAATTGTTAGGTTCTTTTAAGGCTATTATAGAATCCAGTAATCTCATGTTTTACCTGTGCCTGCTAAATCATCCCTTTTACATGAGAAGAGACTATAGTTATACCATGTCTCTAAGATAACCACAAGTATATTTAGGGCAAAACTATGGTTTATAGCAACCATCATCTTTTTTGGGTTTGGCTGCCATATGTGTTCATCATATATCTTTCTCATCTGAAACTGAGCAGGGCAAATCAAAACTTAAAAGAGTTTTAAAGCATTTCAAGTAATTTTTTATACCATTTCTACTTTAAACTTTGTTGCACAAGGTAACTTTGATGAAGACATTAAGATTATCACTGTATGTACAAATCTTTTAAAGCTACAAGAATAAAAAATATCAAGAAATGTAATTGCAGGTAATTATTTAGATACAGTTAGAGCTGCATAAAACATGTATGTAATACATGATTTGAGAACAGAAAAGTCTTCTATTGAGGAAGAAATATTCAAGAACACTATAATCTGCAGGGTATGCAAAAATTTTGATTAAGAGAGTTTAAGCTAGGGCAGAAAAATTGGAAATTTAAAATATGAAAGTAATGTTGCAGTGTTTAGTTGCATCACATCAGTCTGTTGTTTTGTTTCAATAGTAAGCAATTGTCATGGTGAGCAGAGAAGGTTGAGCTCCACTGGAAAGCCAGAGTTGCAGGGCTGACTGGGAAGCCAGCAAGCAAAAGAAGGAAGCAGATGCTTGAAAAGGGAGAAGCCAGGGTGTGGCAGTAGTTATTGCCATGGAGGGAACTTGCCAGGGGATTAGCTGTGGCTTTCATGTCAATGTTTTCATTAGTCCTAGCAGTACAAAAAAATTGAAGTTTTCCTATATAATTTACTAATGGCACAATAGTTAGAAAAGAAGTATGTGACCCTGCAGCTTGGCTCATACTGATTTTTACCCATTTAGTCCTCCTGCACTCAGAAATTACTATTATACTATTATAATATACTATTATATTTTCTTTAATTTTAAACACAAAAATAACCATTTGCCATCCAGAATCACAGACTAAGGAGAATTGTGGTCAAGATTCCTATGATTCACCAGTATATTATATCTTCTAAATTAAAAAGAATAAGAATAGAAAATGCTGTTTTAAATCGGGTTAACTGTTTCCAGTAGAGTTAGAGAAGTACCAAAGGCACCTGCAATGCACTGATGCAAGTCTTCATTAAAGAGTCCAGTGAGAAAGGTGCTCACAATCCATAGGATATTGATTAAAATTGGGGTCATTGGAGATAATCTGAGGAGGTAAAAGGAGATAGCACAGATAATCTTATGTCTCTTCCAATGCTGGGAACCCAGAGCTGTGCAGCCTCAGCCAGATCTCTCGTCAGCACATGCCACATCACGTAAATCCCATCTGTGGGGCCATTTGCCAGCACTGAAGGCTTTAGAGTTTTACAAGGTGTCCTCAGGAGTAGAAAACTCTATTCATCATCTTTACTGTCATGAAAAAGGATGGTGTATGAAAACAGGCTGTTTCACTTCAAGTTAAGCCAAGACATCGGGTGGAGCATCACCAGTTGCCAAGTGTGAAGCTGCCTAAAGGTCCCCACACAGGTGAGCTGGCTCCACTTGTACCTGCAGCACGGGTACGTCCAGCACAGCTCAGGCCTGAGGCCACTTGC